GGTGAAACCAGCAGAGACAGCTGATGTGAGCAGGGGGGACCTCTTGGACCCCAGACCGACAGTTGGGAGGCCAGCATGGGACTGATCCAGACCCCCTGAGTGTGAGAGTCAGTGAGGAGACCTGGGCAACCTATTGCCCTGGGCAGTAGATCAGTTTTTGTCCCTGGCATACAAACGGACTTTGGACTTGGACTCTTAGGGGAGTGCCTGGACCCTGCCCTGAGTGAAATGACAGACTCTAGATATCCTCTATGTGGAAGGAAGTGGAGATAGGGTGGGAGGCTTGGGGTGCGGACGGAGGGGAGGGAGAGGGAGCTGGGATTGACATGTGAAGCAAGCTATTTAAAATTAAAGTAATAAAAAAAGAATATAATAATTGAGATTGAGCTTGCATGACAATTATGTAAATATTTTACACATATAATATAAAACACCATATATAATACCACAAAGAGTATATTACATAATATGTGGTATATTATATAACATAAAATGGCATATGTTATATAATATAAAATATACATATAATTAGTTATATAATATATAATAATCATCATATAGTCATACATATATCCCATAGTTATAGATAATAAGCTGCATACTTGTGCATAATATATAATATATCGTTTATAATATACAATATAAAAGTGTAATGTATACTATTATACATAAAATAATGATATATAATTTATAATATATGTATGTTTTTCTCTAGACTGTGTTCATACTCTGTGGAAACAAGTACCCTGTAACCTTCATGTGAGACTGTACATCTCCACTTTCAGTTGGGTTGTATAGCACTTTATAAATTGCTGACTGAAAAAAAAATTCCATCTAGATGTCTGGATTTCTGGTTTCATTTGCATTTATTGGAAAATACAAATATCTTGGGCTAAGTTTCTTAATGACAACAGCAGCCAGACGAGGGTACCTTCCATTTTTGTTCACAAAGGAAACACTTTCTTCAATTACCTGACTCATAGACCCTACAAGCATTTGAGTTTGGTACTCCTGCTCATGAAGAAATCAAGACACATTGATAAAGGAAAACAAGGCTGTGTATATTCTCCAACATCTTTAAGCTTCATGTTATCTTAAATATAATGTGTGATAATATATAAAAATAATTTTAGGAAAATATGTTAAATTCCCATGGGTCCCTCTCACAAGGTGTTGCCAGGACATAGTATCTTTATGTCTCAGCATCTGAAGACAAGATAGTAAGGGCATTTCAGAATGTCTTTTAAAAATCCATTTTTACTTCATTTAGGATGGTAAGTGTCGCTGATTTCAAATGATAGAACTAGTAAGAAAAATTAGCTAATTTTCTAAAAACTTTTTGGGGGGTGAGATAAGAACTTACCAGTAATGGCTCTAACTTCTGGTTTTTTCGGTTCTGGTCTCCTTAGTTCTTTAGGCAACAAATTGTTCTCATTATGCCATTTTTTCAGACATTGTGGCTCATGGATGCTAATAGATTTGGTCCCATATTCACGGCCACAGATGTAACAAATAACTGTTGGTGGACGCCTTATCATTGTTGGCTGAAAATAATATAAACCCATTAGATAAAGGATAGATGTGGAAACTTTATTTGAAAATTAATATTTTTAATTCTAGTTAGAGGGGCTAGAGAGATAGCTTAGTGGTTAGGAGTACTTGGTGCTCTTGCAGAGGACCTGAATTCAGTTTCCAGAAGGTCATCACAGCCTATAGCTCCAGTGGATCCAACAGCTCATGGATCAGTTGTTCTCTGACCCTCATATGCACATACGCCAGCGCACACACACACACACACACACACACACACACACACACACACACACACACAGAGACATAAATAAATGCTAAATAAGTAAGTAGATATATCTGTAGATGGTGGGACACAGAGTTCCAGTGATTGGTGTTTTCCCTGCTTGTTTTAGTGTTTCTTTAGCCGAGTCTTCACTTGTTAATCCAGTTTCTTCCTTTTGGAATGGGAATGCATATTCTGTCATTGTATATTAGAAATTTGTGGCTTTTTATTTTACAATGATTCACAAGTAAGAGCTTATTGAGTCTCTGATGGACTTTGAACTTGGCTTTTGAGCAGTGTTGAAACTGCTATGACTATTTTTTATTCATTTTACATATTAACCACAGTTCTCCCTTCCTCTCCTCCTCCCCCTATCCCACCTTCCCCCAAAACTCATCCCCATCCACTCCTCAGAAAGGGTAAGATTTCCATGGGGAATCAACAATTCCTGGCACATTCAATTGAGGCAGGACCAAGTGATCTCCCCCCTCGGCCCATCCCATCAAGGTTCAGCAAGTCATCCCACCATAAGGGATAGGCTTCAAAAAGCCAGAGAGTGCCATGACTCTTTATGAACTCTTTGTTATAGGAAAAGTAGGAGCCTTTGAGATCAGGTAGAATAGTATAGCTTGAAAATGATACGACCAGTACAGGTTGACAAAAGGTGGTGTGATGGTTGACCTTCGTTGTCAACTTCACTAGATTTGTGATCACCTGGGAGATACATCCCTGGATGTGTCACTGAAGACGTTTCCCTTTTTTGCTGTGGTGAATGAATGTATCTGTAAATCTTAGTCAGAATCAACCCTCTATTAAGTTGCTTCCTGTCAGGTATCTGATCACAACAATTAGAAGAGTAGCTAATACAGATGAGAGTTGGTGAATAAATACTTCACTAAGGCTAATTTCACACAGTTTTCTAGAAGTCCTTAGCAAAATTGTGCCTTATCTATTGCATACTATACAGGCTTCCTTCTTTTCCATTTATCACCTTTCCTGAATAATCCAAAGCTAAAAAAAAGTTGGAGGCCAAAATTAATGACCTGACATTTTTTAAAATAATAATAGAAAACAAAACAAATTATCCTACTATAAGATAATGCGAATTTGGAATTTCAGTCCAGTAAAAATAGTCTTCGAAACTTAAGATGAAATAAAGATGTCTTTGGCCAGGGGAACAGTTAAATAATTCATTACTGATAGATTTTTGAGGCAAATATTCTAAGAGAAGTTTCAAATGACAAAAAGAAATAACAGCAAATAGTCTAGTTTGTAAGAAACAATGGGGAAATACTGTAAAACGCAAATAGGTCAGTAAAATAAGCTTTGGAATATTCATACTTTTGCCATACAGAATATTAAGTCTCTTAGATAATGGGCTATTTGATGCAAAAATATCCAAGACAAAGTTTACTGTATATATGTACAAAACAAGTCTTCAAGAACACATGATGGAGCAAAACTCAAAGTGAGATAATTATTAATTTGATTATAATAGTTTTTGAATATGAACCAGTCAAAGGTGTTTATTTTAACATATATAATAGGCACTAGTGCATACAGGTATACAAGGGGAGAAACTAAAATCAATGGGTAAATGGCCAACCAAACCCCAAATATGATAAATTAACTGATCCCCAAAGAAGGAAGGGTAATAAAAGAGAAACAAAAACATCAACTCACCAAAACCTGGTGATTAATAGCATTAAAATAGGAAGACAGGTAGAAATCAGGTCAAATATGTCAATAACTGGCCAGGAGCAATACTCTTATTACTGCTTACCATGCTACTTTCTGCAGTATACCTCAATAAGCTTGTTTTTCCCCAAAAGGAAATCAGTAATTGTAGTAAATTTAGATAGACTAAACAACACAATTAGAAGACATGTTGCTGGGCACAGGGGCTTATACCCAAAGTTAGTTAATGTGATGCTGAAGTAGGAAGATTACCATGAGTTGAAGGCCATTCCAAGACACATGAGTTCTAGTCCAGCATGGGCTAAAGAGCTAAACTCTCTCTCTCAAAAGCCAGGAAAATAAAAATTAAAAATAATAAAAGTAAAAGAGAACACAATTTTCAGGCTAGATAAAAAGATGAATTCCAACTTTGTGTTTTTATTATGAAAAACACATTTTATGGACACAAACATGCAAATAGGTTTCAAGGGAAAGAACGGGGAAAAATATCTTATGAGACCAGTAAGAGAGAGAAAGCTGATATGTCTTATGTTCAGCATAGGAAGCTTGAGTCAGATAGGCAAGAAACTGCAGGGCCATGGAGAGCCAGGAAAGCCGTTCTGAGATCTGGATTTTACTGTGCTCAGGGTCATTCAGCAGGGACTAAGCCATAATCGTGCATCAGGGATATTAGCTTGGTGGGTTGTAGCCATGAGGCCAATATGACTATGAGATCCAATAAGTGGCTACTCTGCAGATGAGGGAATAATGGGCCAGAAATGGCAATATTTTATTCTACAAGATGACAGTCAGGCACAGAAAGGGAGAAATGAGCAAAAGCAAACTGAAAAAAATAGGAAAACATGGATTGTGTTCTGGATCTGAGGAGATTGACATATTCATAGAATTTGACCTCATAAAATCCAGCCAAAACAGGAAATGTAGGCCTGCGATTCAGCATTAATAGTCTTTGGAACTATTCATGGAGGAAAGGATATTTTAAATAGGAAAATTTCAGATAAAGGGATTAGAGAGACTATGGAGAAAAGGTACAAGTAGAAGGCCTATAATAAGGATATTGAAAACAGGAAACTACAGGTAAAAATATGGAGAAAGGTTCAAATTTTCAGTTGAGGAAATGAGGCATGGAGAAAAAAGCTCCATCCAGAATTTTGGAAACACTCCTTCCTGACTTCCATCAAGGTGAAGTCATCACTCTGTAAAATGCTTTAAAAGAAACGGGAGGAGAGAAAAAGATGTCATATTCACTACTAGGTCACATGTCGGTGATTGGTGACTATGTCACATGTCAGTGATTGGTGTGTGCTCATCCTTGATGGAGCAGGACAGGTAAAGAAAAGACTAAGATTTTAGATATTAGCTAATCACATAATTATTAGATAGTCAAAATTGTTGCTAGGAAAAAGGGAGTGCTTTCAAAAACTTAAAGAATGGAAATGAGAGCTGAGTAGAGTCAAGAAAGGCTTGTTTATATGACAGGATTATAAAACAGGGTCTTCCTCTACAGGCAGAGAACTGGGATCAAGCATGGATTGAAGACATTGAGCTGAGAGAAAAAGGAAGAAAGAAGAAATAGGTGAAGTTACATAAAGGTGGTCGTAGGAAAGTCAAGGTTGATAGAACTCACAAACATGAGCTTCGTCTCCTAGGTAACATGATCTTCAGGGGATGAAGAGATTCAGATTCTGGGAAATAAAGTATTAAAATTATAGGACTGGTTACTGTGGGAATGTGACAGCAGTTCAGTTAGGAAAAATACTAACTGAAACAAAAATGACCTAATTAGAGTTGCAAGAGATACCAGCCGCATTAAAGATTCCCTTTCTTATATGTTCTTTAGTAGGACTGGAAGGCATGAAGACAAATTAAGTGGATGGTATTTTATCCTTTGGAGAAATAAAGCATGGTAAAATATGTATGTTTTAGAACCATCCTGCCTTTTACCACAGCTATTGGTCAGTCTCCTGAAATGAAGAAAACACAAAACAAGATCACAATAAAAAACAAAAACCAAACTACCATTATGATTTCTGATGACCAGAAGCAAAATAGATCCTAGAAGACTAACCAGAAAATTAAGAGGCCCAGTAAAACTGAAATTGGAGTGCCTTCCTGAAATGCCGATTTTATTAGAGATATAGTATTTTTATTGAGCACTACTCGATGCCAACAGACTGTCTTTATCAAAATAACTGGTGCTTGTTTGTCATGTTTCCATGCATGCAGAGTCATGTAGCCTATACAAAGTGACTTGGGAAGCAGGGGACTCAAGACAGAGAGAATATAAAGTATAAGCCATAATTTTTCGAGACACATCAAAGATCCCTGGGCTTTCTTTTTGTGTTTATTCATTTGGAAGGTTAATTAAATACAGGTTTTTCAGTTGAAAAACTTGAAGTTGTTCATTTTTACTTTGAGAAGAATGTATTTATTAAGACTCCATATGGAATCTGGATTGCAAGCCAAACCCAGCATTTAACCAAGCATAGCAAGCAAAATAAATGGCATGGTGCCTAAAGGAAGACATTCACATCAAATTGTCATAGAGTTTCCTCTGCCAGGGAAAGTTGTGAGCAAGCAGGCCAACGCAGAGGCCTAAAATCACTCTACAATCAACTGCAAAGGATGTGGGACATTACTCTTCTGTATTTGGGGTTGAACTTTAGTTGACCTGAAGCATACTCTATAATCTCGGGTTTGAGCATCTTCCTGCTAAGCTAAATGATAGGGAGGTGCAGGCAACCCAGCTGTGGCTGAGGAGAAAATGCTCCTGGGTGGGTGTGAACAGTGATAAGACAACTTGGCGTTATTTTTCATTAACTTCACTATTGTTAGTCGGAAACTTCATTGAACAATCTACGGCTTGTGGCCAAAGTCATTATCCTGATCACCAGTGTTTTAGTAGCTGAGCTTTTGCTCCAGTGTTTGCAGGAAGAAAAGGCTCTGTGGGGGTTGGAGAGCGTGAATAGGAAAGGAATTCGCTAACTACCCTGACAGAGCCAACAGAGTGCCCGCTCTTGTGTAACGTGGACAACGTTGGATGACACGGCACAACAGAGCAGGACAGGAGCTGTGGAAACTCATCCCTAGAGGGATGGGAGGACAGCAAGCCCTATCCACATGGAGCTTGCCAGGGCCAGCCTGCTGCTCTAAGTGAAATCAAAGGAAGGCAAAGAAAAACCCACAAGTCTGAACTCCGTAGGCAGCAAAGGATTAGATCTAGTTGTCCTGTCAACATTTCAGAAAGTCTTTGTAGACTGCCTTTTGAAAAGTAAGTCTCCAGTTCCTCATGGGTACTATTTAGGTGTGAAGCACTTTAGGAAAATAAGTATTTGCTATGTGGGTGTGTCTCTAGGCTCATTACAGCTCTGTTCTGGTCCTTCTAGGTGGAATAGAGACTATTCAGGCTGAATACAGAAAAAGATGCTGTAGGGCAAGATTTTGTGTGTGTGTGTGTGTGTGTGTGTGTGTGTGTGTGTGTGTGTGTGTGTTTAGCTAACTTTTCATGTGTTTTCAATCACTTTACTGGCCACTGGTGGAATTCTAATATTACTTTCTATGCAGTATCTTTTCCTATTTTATTCATGCTTTTTTTTTCTGTCGAGAACATCTGGTCTTTGATGGGCTGGGCCAAATCTGGTTAAGACAAAAGGCAAGTGAACATTTAGAGATTTCTCACTCAACCAGTGTAGATATACCTGTTAATTTTTACAATGAAACTTAAAGAGTTCTGGTAGCACCATGAAGATAAGAGGGCAAAGAGAAGGACCAGGAAAGAAACCTGGCTTAGTGGAAAAGCTTAAGGGAATCATTGGTAGAAAGGGAATAAATGTGGTCATTTCAGAGATCCTGGAGAGATGCTTTAAGCATCTTTTGATGGCCTCGTCATGGCTCAGTGCAAGGGGAACCATGGTGAAATGTGTAGCTTAATAGCCATGAACGTCTAAAAGATAAAGACATGGGTAATGCGAAAAAAAATAAGAGCAGCATTACATGAATCCCAATGAAAGCAGCGCTGAAAAATCAAAATGGAAGTCATTAGTAGTAGTTTTCATAAAGGGCAAAATCATTCCACCTGTTAAATTCTTAAACCAGCTTTGTGGTGACACCAAGTGAACTTCTACAGTGGGAAGGACAGAGAGCAGTATTACAGGATGTTTAAGAGAACTCAACTCATATAGCTTTAAAATTTTGTTTTTAGTGTGTGTGTGTGATACTCCTGTGACTTACAAGTCTGTAGTGTGTGCTTGTGAGTCTGTACTGTGTGCTTATGCCATGTCAGTGCACGTGGGCCACACAAAAACTTACGGGAGTTGATGCTCTTCCTCCTTCACGCGGGTCCCAGGGATTGAACTCAGGTTGTCAAGATGTAAGCACCTTTTACCTGCCAAGTTCTGTCACCAGGCCTAGATTTATTACTTGTCATTGAAGCATTTTGTCTGTTCTTTATAAGGAGAGCATTTTAGTGAGACTCGTGCCAAAGAAATCACATCACAGTGTAAATTATATTCTTATCACTAAGTCTGTATTCAAACTAAATAAAGTACCTGATTTTCCCCCAATATAATTTATATGTTATTTGGATATATTCCTAGAACAGAGAGCTTTCCCATCCCTGTCTAACATCCTAGTATCAAAATGACCCTATTCTGTGTTCACTTGAGACAACTCATTAACTTAAAAGTCAGAGAGAACTGCCCAAGGGACTCAGAAATGAAAAAGCATCCTAAAAGAGAAGTAGAACATTGGCCTACATCACAATTCTCAGCAAGATAGCAAAAGACATGCCTGCTTTCCGATATTAGCCAATCATGTGGTTGCAATCATTGATGTGGAATGACACAAGTCTAACCATTTAAATTCAAAACAGTGGTGACCATGAAAGAGATAGACATGACAATCCTTACCCTGTCTCAAAACTAGATTGAGAGCTGTTCCCCTGTATCTTTGTGTATTTTATCTCTTAGAAAGAGCATGACTAATAACAGGCCCAGCCAGTACACAACTATCTGGGTTTAATCAACTATTTCTCAATTTCACGAAAGCCAGTAAGCCAATGGTATTTTAAATATTGATGGTGCCAATGTATTTTGAACAAAAACAAAGCAGAGGCATCTGCTGGAGGCACAGCTGTGACTGACTCAGAAGAAACCTTCACCGAAGGACATACAAGGAGGAAAGGCAGGACATCTCTCAGTGACTCAATGGCAATGTGAATACTGTTGCTCTGGAAGTTGCTGTTGCTGTGTGCTGGGCCCTGTACAGGGAACAGAACCATGAGCTGGCCCTAAGCAGTGGGAATAACCACACTTAACTCACTTTTCTTGGGAAGCATCCTTTAGCTTTATCTATGAGCAAGTATCAGGCTGGTGGATTCCCATTTGCCATGTCTAGCTAATAACAGATGACACTATTCAAGAAACAGGAAGGGAAGCTAAGAGTGGCTTCTGCTGAGCTGAGAGAGTTTTTCTTGACTTCTCTGCCCACTGATATGTGTAAGCTCAAACTGATTATTTTGGGAACTAGTTTTCAGGCCAGGAACCTTTTTAGACTGCTAAATTTTTGTGACCCTGAAAGCATTTGAAGTATGGCTCTAAGCAGCCTATTTCTCAATTCCTTGATCTCTCTAGTAACAAGTTGCCTTATGCTTAATGTCTAAGACATGTGATATTGTTTTAACATGTCAGTGGCTAAGAAAGTGTTGTTACTTGTCCAGGGAATCTGCTTTTTACCTGGAATCTCCTGAAAGTCACCGATTCAAAAGACTAATCTCTGGTAGTGAAATAAACAACAACAACAACAATTAGCAACAAGTCCCCTAAAATTACCTATGGGTGCAATAGTGGAAAGAATGTTTTGGGGATGACCAAACACTTTTTTAAATTGAATTTAATGCCTGCTCTACTGGAGGAAACATGTGCCTGGTAGTGTAAATCTGGCCAATAATCCATGGCAGAGGCCTCATAGGTTCTAAGGGTGAACCCACCAATACCATTTTACTAAGTAGTATCAAACTGCCCTGTAAATACATATCTCAATATCCATAAATTAGTACAGTCCACTGTCCTAATCACTGGGTTGTCTACTCTGACAGAACGTGAAACATGATCTCAGGTACGACAGAATGTGATGGAAGATTTGAGGCTATCCTTGGGCACAAGGACGTGCTACATTAAGGGGGGAATTCAGTAACAAACTTGAAAACCATTACTTGGTTGTGTACCTGGGATCCTAATTCAAGTCTATCTGTCGTCAACGGACTGCCACGCCCTGCCACTAAGTCAGCCATTGGCTTTGAGAGAAACCAGCAAAGCACCCAGCTCCGCCCCTGCTCTGCTTCCACAACTACCTTGAAAAATCACCACGTTTATAACACGTTCTTATGCCAGCTCAGCATGTAGCCTCAGTGTGCTGGCCCCACACGGAAACACTTTACTGAGCAGTTGCTTTGTGAGGAAAGGAGGCTGCCTTCATCTTTTCCTTTAAATGATTTTACTTCTTCACAAAATGCAGCCTTCTCTGAGGCACAGGGTTTCACCCTCAAGATACTGTCTTCCTTCTTCCATTGCAGTGGAGAAAGTTTCTATAATCACTGTAAGTTGGCTGGCCACCCAGTTCCAGAGATTCACCTCTATGTGTCTCCACAGCACTGGCATTATAAACCTGCACCACTATTATGCCTTTTTTTCTTAAATACAGGTTTTAGAATCAAACCAGGCCCTCATGCTCGCGAGGCAAGCAAGTTGCTGCCTGAGCTGCCTCCCCAGTTAAGGAATAGTTTCCTGGTTAGACATTTTTTCCCGATTTCTTTTTTTCTTTTCTTATTTGAGATTTAAAAAAAAAATCCTGCCAGGGACATTAGTTTTCTGAACAAATCCCTACCAAAAAAAGTGCTTTCTTAGAATAAAATTGGTAGAGGATGTCCAGGTGTTTGGTTTCTGAGCTCATCCATTGGACAACAGGTTTCATTCTCATGGTCAGCAGGCTTCTAGGTCACAGAGTGAAATCAAGCAAGAAGTTAATCTCTGAGGGAAACGCACAGGCAAGACAGCCAATTAACTCATCCAGTGACCGTTGTAAAGATGGTGCCACCCAAAGCTGTTTTCCATGACTTTGCTATGAATTTGCTATGGCTTAGATGTAAAAGTTCCCATATCGGGAGTATGCTCAGAAAAATAGATTTCCATGTTTAAAAGGCTATCAGATAGGCTGGAAATAACTTTAAGAGGCAAGCTGCTTTTAAGTTTTTCCTATCCTGTGGGTGACTTGTCCTTTATTTTCCTCTGTCTTGCAGTTAGGAGCAATACATTTATGCTTTTGCATTCTCTGATTAAAGTTAGCCAGGATTGTGTGTGTTCCTTGGAGACTGTAAAGATGGGATCATTCCATCAGAGGCAGGTAACTGGACATGAATATTAGAAACGTACTGAATTCCTGGATTGGGCTCCTGACAACTTGTGCATCACACGTTGGACAACATGGTGCTGGTAAAGCCTATAAAAACATACAAGTGAGAAGTGCTGCCATATAACGTAAATGGCAGTCAAGAGCTGCAGGCTCAATAAATTTATTTTGGTGCTCTCCATCCAATCCTAAGGCAGGATTCAGGCCTATGCTGATCAGTGGCGTGCCTGTTCGTGGAGGACTCCTGGCAAGGTATGTTGCCCTACATTTGATGTGGTTTTTAACATCAAATGTGGGGAAGAATTTAGAGCTGATGCTGGAATTTGGATTTGTGGGAGTCATGCTCCAAATCATTAAGAGTCTTAGTGTATATTACTAGCAAATGTAGATGTACTCTTTTGGGGCCAGAAGCGAGGAAATGGGATAATGGGACGAATTAGGCTAATGAAGACATATAAGATTGACTAGCATTTTAATTACATTTATTTATTCGGTTTTATTTATTTATTGACCATATATTTATGCACCTGAAGGCCAGACGTCAACTTGCAAGAGTTGGTTCTCTTTTCACCAATTGGGTCTCAGAGATACAACTCGAGCTGCCAGGCATCTTTGCCCACTGAGGCATCTCAACAGCCCCAAACTGATCCCTTTTAAGTAATATATCCAGCGTATAGTTTTATTGATTTCATGATTAGATACCATTTGGCTTGTGAACATGTGATCCTATCCTCTCACAGAAGCAGAAAATAATTAGTGTTTGTCCTTCTAAAGAAGCAGCAAGTAAAATACAGGTGCCCCCAGTGCAACCTGGAAGGAATATCAGTTTCTGCGAGTCTTGATAACTTCTAGTACAATCTGAGGCAGACTTATTCTTTAAGTTACATGTTCTTACCGTTTGCATAGATAGGTGTCATTCTTTAAATTTTATATGAGAAGCTTATATTTGCTGTTAAAAAATGTATAACCTTTCCCAGTCCCAGAGATTTCACACACCCTATGTCCATCCACAGGTTGACCTGGGTTGACCTTCAGAGCCGATAGTGTAGAAAAAGAGCCAGAACTGTTACCTTATTGTTGCTCTTTGTACACCTGAGAGCCACGGGATCCTAGGATGCTGCCCTGATATTCGGGCATGGTTGGCCCCAAGGAAAGATGATTGAGCGTCATGTGGAGTTGGTCATTAAGTAGCCCAGCTGGCAGCATCATCAAAGGACACTTTATGAGGTAAGGCTGGTTTTCATGACATCAGCGCTACCGAGTAGGTGAGCTAGGGCCACTGAAGATAATTGTAAGGACCATCAGCCACTTAATGTGTTATCTACCATTTCCAAAAAGTCCCATGTCACTTTTGTACCTAGGGATCATTAGAAGTGAGAGGTTCTAAGAGCCTTGGTCTTGACTTCAGGAACTCGGTTTAACAGAGGGCGTGAAGAGACCAAGCACTAAGAAGCTTCTGGAAGCCAGTCTTTCCTCTCTTCCTTGTGGGCTAGAATAGCATGCTAAGCTTGCCTGATAGTTTATTGAGAAAACATATAAGCAGATTGCAGCCCCTCCACCTTCCCACTGCCCATGGATAAACTTGCTTTTTTTTCTGTATCCAGCATCCTGGAATAAGGAAGCATCCCCCTTACAGAGTCCTTTTTCTACACACTGGCCATCCTAGGCTCTGCTGCCTGTTTCCTCTGCATCATCTTTACCTTCTCCTATCACCTCCATCTGCTCCTCCTCTCCACCAAATTATTTTGGTTATTCAAATTTAGTCTCAAAGCCTTTCCTATTGTTTAAAGAGACTTCTGCGTCTAACCGATCCACCATTTCTTTCTTAGACCAGAAAGCTAAATATCTCAAAACGTACCTATACTCTACAACTCCACCCAAAGGCTCCAAGGCTCATAGTTAAATTATATGGCCAAATTAAGTTACTTTTTAGCCCTGAGTCTACTTCCCTTTTCTCACGCCGTGTGTTGTCCCTAGTCTACTGACAGCTTCTCAGATATCACCTTCAAAGCCAGCACACTCTGCAGGCATTGCTGGTTCGTCGTATCTTTGGATATTCATTCTCTCTTCTAGGGGCCACCTTCAGTCTGTTTTTCTTTTTTTAGATTTATTTATCTTTATTTTATGTGTATTTGGGGTGTTTTGCCTGCATATATGTCTGTGTGTACTTGGTACCTCCAGAGGCCAAAAGAGGGCATCAGATCCCCTGGAACTGGAGCTATGGATGGTTGTGAATCTTAGAAACTGAATTCTTCTGTTCCATTTATGCAGGAGCAACAAATGTTCTAAACCACTGAGTCGTCTCTCCAGGGCTATACTAACTCAGATTTCTGTATTTTCTAATAACCAACAAACGGACATCCCAGCCCTGTCCTCTCTTCACCCAGCTCAAACTACTTAAATATCTCACTTGCATTTTGATTCGGCATTTCCAGAATCCTAACTGCCTATAGCCTCCCTTCCCTTCCTAGAAAATGGCGCAGCTAAAGCTGGTGATCCCCCTAGGGATCTGGGAGTTCTCCTTGGCCCTCATCCTTCCACGTTTCTCTCACCAAGATCTGCCTGTCATATTGCATCTTCAAGTCTGCAATCAACCTCTGGATTCCTGGCAAAGTTAAACATGTGGGGTACTGCTCTGTGGAGGGCAGCTTGAGGGATCATGACTGCCCTGATACCACCACCATAGCTTCTTCTTGTGCTCGCTCATCCCCCGTTAGGTGTCAGTCACAGATCTTCAGTTCCACTGTTAGGTCAGAGTGCAGTCTCCCTTTGCAGCCATGCCCTCATTCCACACCTGCTCAGTTAATGCTGGTACTACCTGAAGTATCTCCCTTGAGGTTTTCTCTAACCAAGGTCTTAAATGTTGCCTCCCACCACAACCCATTGTGCTATCAAATTTGATACTATAGGATTATATTTTTAAATTTCTTGTCATTTCCTCCTAGGACCAAGAGAGCTTGGTCTATAGTTGTTTTTGTTTTGTTTTGTTTTTTCTAATGAGTATGTATTTAGTGCTTAGGGCAATGTCTAGTGATGGATACTGGCAAGTTAGCAGAACTTCTTTCTTCTTTGTCTTACCTATTGCTAAAGCTTTGCAGGGTAACTATGTTCCCACCTTGCCATACTTGGAATAGAAACTACAAGTACTCCACCATTAAGTTCCTCCAATTCTCTAGACCCTTGCTTATATCACAGAGACATTAAAAGATATGCTCATTTAGATTTAGAACTGCTCTAGCACCCATTTTTGAACCTGCCACCTAACTCTGGGCAATGGCTTGACCTCAAACTTCCAAATAGAAAAACAGAAAATTTAAAGCAGAGTGAACATACAAAGTACTGATCTCTTTCTCTCTTTCTCTCTCTCTCTCTCTCTCTCTCTCTCTCTCTCTCTCTCACACACACACACACACACACACACACACACACACACACAACCATTTTGAGTGATCATGTCCATTCTAAAAGTCAGGCTGAACTGTAATCCTCAGTGGAACATATTGAGGTTCAGTTTATGGGAGGTGATTGAGCCATATGAACTCCACGTCTGTGAATAAGATTAACACCTTTATAAAAGGGTTATATGATGTGATTGCTTCCTTCCACTTCCATCATTTTCCTGTTGAAGAAGACAAGCATTGCTCTCTCCAGAGGAGCAGCAATCAGCACCATCTAGGACATCGAGAACATCCTTCCTAGGCAACAGTGCTGCTGGTATCCTGATCTTGTACTGTGTTGCCTGTAGAATGTTCTTCATAAGTCACTCTGTCTCAGGAAATTGTTATAGTAGCATGGATGTGTACATAAAAATACTGAACAAAAACAGATCATATTTTTATTCCTGTCCCTAAACTCCCATATTGTTTCTATTTAACAGATGACCACAGATAAGAAGATGGGGCAGTATCTGCTCTGCCTTCCTAGTTGTGACAGTCCCATCAGACTTTGCCTTTGTAGAATGAGATATTTCCTCCAGAAAACAGTACCTCTAACTTCAATTGTAACATGTCCATAGTACCAGATAATTGGAGTTTGCTGTTGCATTATAATGGTGCCTTCTCAAATTTTTGGAAGTAAACAACAGAGGCGCTGGAAGAGCTGGAGAGATGGTTTAATGGTTAAAGCTGTTTGTTGTTCTTGCAGACAGCTAAAATTTGATTCACAGAACCTGGGTGATGTAACTTCAGTTCCTGGGGATCTGATACTCTCTTGACCTCTGAGGGAACCAGGCATGCATGTGTGGCACATGCCTGCGTGAACACACGTGCATGAAAACAAAGAGGAGGAGGAGGAGGAGGGACTGGAGAAATGGCTCTGCAGTTACGAGCACTCACTGCTCTCACAGAGGGCCCAACTTCAGATGCCTGTACCCAGAGGAGATAGCTTCCAATCACCTCCAACTTCAGCTGCAGGGAGGGATGCACACTTTTGGCTTCTGAGCGCACCTTCACTCAGGTACAGGCATGTATACATAGACACGCACCCATCCACATACACATAATTAAAAGTAATGAAATAAATCTTTTTTTTAAAGGAGAACGAAAGGCAGTCGCATAGTTGACAGTGCAGAAGACACTAAAGGAAACAGCAGATGGCAGCACCAGATGCTAGTGACATGTCTGAGGAATTTTCAGTTGCAGCTTGAGCCCTGGGAATGCCAAAAGCACTCAGAGCCACATTCAGAGAAACAGTTTTCTGCAGAAAAGACACCATCCCCTAATAAGAAATAATGTCTGCTCCGCTACATAAGGCAGGAACATTTCATGTGTTATCAGCAAAATCCTAAGACAGTAAACCTCTCGTCTTCTCTAGTGAGGGTACTTGGGTAAAGACTGTACTTGGCTTTATAATTGTGTCTTTAACTGTCATCCTACACTTCAAATAACCGAAAGAGGTCTGAAACTAAAGGCTGCAACAGTCAGCTTCTAAAAAGATCCAAAATGTTTACATTTATTCTTTCTGTTTTAAAATAAGAAATAGCAATGGCCTCTATCATATTCTTGAGCAGGTATCATAGAATGTCACTTATAAAATGAATATCGGAAATTCCATTAAGCACACAAGATTAAAAATTAGAACAATGATATGTATCTTTCCACACCATGTATCAAAATGTCATATGAAGTTATTAACAATTTAGTACCCGGTGTAGCTCATCCATGCTGTTCTTCTTTCAGAGGAAGGAAATGCCACAATGATCGTTGTTATAACATAGAGCCAGACAACAGCCCAAGGAAAACCACACTTAATCACACTTTTCCATCGTCCCATACCAGAGTTTTATTTCCCTTCAACACTGCTAGAGCACTTCACAAATTTTCTGTGAGATCACAAAGAATATAAATTTGGCTCTGTACTTCAGATCATAAATAGCAAGGGAGTTAGAGTTCATATAAGGACAAAGCAAGATGCCCGTTTAGATCTCCCAGGAGATCTTTGATCTCTCGCTGGCATGTATTCTTGTTCTCTTTGATTGAGAGTGAACAACAGCACTGCACCCTAAGGGAATGCAGAGTCAGTCTACAGGAGAGGAACTCTCTCAGCAACGCTGAATTTGGCCAGCAAAAGTCACTGTCACCCCGCTGGAGCAAATTCTGTTCCCAGTACTATGACTGCTATTGTGAACATATTTTTCCTCTCTGGAATTCAGATTGAGCCCCTTGAGAACATCAGGCAAGATGACTGATGCTAGCCCAAAATCAGATGAAGAATTTCGAAGCAAAACTGCTCCAATCGAGGAGAGAAAAAGGCGAAGCAGGCATCTATTGTGAAAAGCAATGCACATGCAGTTAGCCGCAGTCAGCCGTCACAGGCAGACACAGCTCCAGAATCTAATAATGTCTATATCAGCGTTCTATGGAGAACAAGTGACTCATTGCATGAAATTGTACACAGTGTAAAGGTGCTAAAATTTCAACAGATGGGATCAAGAAAGCAAGGCACCCTAGGCAAGAAAGGCTTTCTTCTGAATGTACCTTGAAAACAACATCTGAGCATAAAGATAACATCAATTCTGAGAGATCTTATGATTTAGTGAAGTCTAAAATGCGCTCCATTTTACTGAATCCTTGGTTAGATGACCTTTCCGTGTCTTCACTGTGGCCTACATGGTTCCCGAATATGCCAGCACACACATAATAGTAATGGGTACCACCCTCTTACTGACACATGGCAAGGAGAGGCCTTTGGAGCTTTGGGTGCGTACTGACATCATCTAGTCCTCCAGGGGTTCTCACATACACACAGGCATCATGGAGAAGCCACCACTCACTTCTGCTGACATTTTCTCCTCCAGAGAACTGGGTGGGTGAGGAAAGATTTTTTTCTGTGGCACCATGGGCTCAGTCGTTTCTTTTAGCAACTGTGACTGGGAGAGCATGCTGTGCTCGGCCTGTTGGCTCCAGTCTTAGAGCACAGAGTGTGTGTTACAACCATAAGCACAAGAACCCAAACCACACCTCTCCTAGCTCTAGATCTGTAATAAGAATGTTCGAAATAAACACATGCAATCACGAAGCAGGCTGTAAGTTAGAACGCTAGGGCAATTGTTGATTGGTGGCCCTGAAACACAGATTCTTTTACTTTCTGACTCCAGACCCCACACAGGCTGGAAGAAAAGCAACAGGCAGAAGATGGAAAAAACAGACCGGGTTTATGAGAGCAGCTTGGAGCCCATGCCACACTTACGATTTGGGTTTTCATCAGGCAAAGAATCTAGCCATTTGGATTTTCTTTCTCTTCAATAGTCCCTGGAAAAAATGTCCTGCATGCTAATATGACTTTTCTACTCTAGGATCACTGTCATGGGATCTTCAAAAACCAGGAGGTCTGTGATTTTCAGTCATGGAAACTAGGAACAAGACTAGACAGTCCTCAAAATAATATAAAATAAAGGCAAGAGAAATTAGATCCCAATAAAAGCTGTACCCCTATTGCTCCAGTTCAATAACAGTTTAAATAACATTTTTTCATTAATTTAAAAACATTATCTAGCTAAAGGCTGCTGTCAAGAGGCTGTGATTAAAGGGTTGGAGCATTCTTGGAATTCAAATAGTCATGAGAAAAGGCCACCTCCTATTTCTTACTGTTGGACATGTAAGATGTGACAGACCAGGGTCCCATTTTAATGGTAGGGAAAAGAGCACGTGTCATGTTCTACCGTTCAATTGGCCACCTTCACAAGGATCCCTACTCAACCATGCTGCCAAGGAGACCCCAAGGAAAATGCCAATAACTTTCACTTTATTGGCTGATGATAACCTGAGTTCATGCTTATTTAGGATAAAAGAAGTTGGGGGACCCAATCCTATGAACAGTTTCCACAAAGTGTACAGAACAACCCAGGACTTAGCACTTCCCAGAACCATGCATGCATATCTGTGCTGGAATTAACCCGACCTCCCCATAATAATGTATGCCTTAAAGTCACACTGCAGCTGAACAGCACATAGACTCAGCGAGTGCTCCAGTGTTTAATTATTGCTAAAGTCATTTGGGGTTTTTGACACAGATTCTATTTTAGTAAGATAAACTCAGCATAACCCAACGTTGCCAAAACTGAATTCCTAAGGTAGATGACTAAAATAAACCAGCAATAAACATTGGCTGTTGGAATGGGAATCATATCTCTGTAATGTAGACACAGCATTAATGACTCATTTTAAGTAACAGTCTCTCCCGGGGATTATTGGGATAAGGGATCAGAGAGAGAAAAAAAAAAGTCCATCACTTTTAGACTGTAGGACTGGAGAAGATTATGAACCAACCAAGCAAGTGTTTTGTTAGGCTTACTTTGCCAAAAGAGACACAGCCCCTGGAGTCCAAAAGGAGATCCACTTGAAAAGACTGCCTTGAGACACAAGTAAGGCTTTGAGAGAAACCATCCTTAGGGCTAAGGTGGCTGGCTCTGGGAACAATTCTCTCATCCCTTTGAAGATGCAGTATGTCCCCAGTCCACCTACTTCATCTTATATGACACCAGTTACCTTGTCCTCACTGGGTGCTGCCATGTTCCTTTGCTGCTTGGAATTGGTGGGTACATTTGGGCCACATTTCCTTTCTAAGTTCGAACCCGGAATTTTTGGCCCACTCGGTTGATATTTACAACTTCTCTGGTGTACAGGTAGGCGGTCCGGGGCAAAGGTCCGGCCACAGTTCGGGCAAGGCACAAGCGCAGCTTGGCTTGCCCCTTCTTGGCTGGGATGCCCAGTTGGAAGCGGTTGGGGTTTCTGGGGCAGTGGCCGACGCAGCTCTTGCGGGAGCCGGTCATTCTCAATTTTCCACTTTTCCAAGCATTTGGGCTCATGGATAGGAAGGGACAGTGTGCCAAATTCCCTACCACAAATGTAACAGACGAGAGTCCTTGGTCTGACTGGGACACCGCTAGAAGCCTTCTTGAGACCAGAAGGAACATCAGGACCATCCGTGCCTGGTGTTCTGGGATTCTCACCCTTTGGCTTGCAGCTTCTCTGGTGAACCAGAAGACGATCTGGCAAGAACGTGCGGCCACAGTAGCCACAGGGCAGCAGCTGAGCCTGTGCGCTCTGAAATGCCTCCTCATTGGCTGCCTGAAGGGTATAGGATCCGCTGCCACGGATGGGCTGTGGTTTGGAGGGTTCCGGCCTCCTCAGGTGCTTGGGCAGCTTGCTGTTCTCAATGCGCCACTTCTCCAGACACTGGGGCTCATGAATGGCAAGTGACTGGGACCCGAACTCTCGGCCGCAGATATAGCATATCCGGAACCCCGGCCTGCGGGATGGGATCACAGGAGGGCTAGGCTGGCTTTCTGACATAGTTCTACTTGAGCGTTTTGATAGTATCACTGTTCCGGGTCTCCTTTTCTGAGTGTTGGTCTTTATGTTTTCGGTGAGATCGTCGCACTGTGTTTCTGGCAGAGGGGTCGAGTTGTAGTCACTAGGCAGGACAGCCTGATAGATAAGGAAGGTGGGCTCTCTGGAGCCCTGGAAAGCTCTTTGTGATTGGGTGGGAATCGCCTCCTTTCCTCTTTCCATGAACACAGGAGGCTTTCTCCAGCGCTTGCTGGAGTTTCAGGCCACACTAGCTAGCCCTAGGCTGCTGCTTACACTGACGGTTCATGACGCTGGCTCCCTTAGGCTTCCACACTGTTGCCAGTATTTAGGTCAGTGACTCAGAACTTCATTGCAGACCAGCAGTCTGGGATGTTGGAAAGTTCCCATTAAGCCTCAGATGTCTCTAAGATCTGTAAGGAGAAGGGGACACAAGTCAAGAAATTACTACATAGGCTCTCTCTCTCTCTCTCTCTCTCTCTCTCTCTCTCTTCCTTCTCTCTCCCCCTCCCCCCCCCCCTCTCTCTCTCTCACACACACACACACACACCACTTAGATCATAAGCTGATAAAAGGCAGTATTTCTTCATCAACCATAGTCTCTTTGGCTAGCTTAGTAACCAGTATTAGAGATATTCAAGAAACATCAACAGAAATGTGATTAATTCTTTAGACACTGCAGAGTACTAAAATTAGTAGGGCAAACTTATACACAAAGAAGGCTGAAAATGAACTCCCATAGACACAGATGACACGTGACAAGAGGCAGAGTCTAAGACAGCATATCCACAGAAGAGAAAACTGTAGAATGCAAAAATTAAAGAATCAACAGACCCCATAAAAAATCACAACCCCTCCTTCAGAGTCTTAACCCTTTGGTGCCATAGACCCCTTTGATAATTGTGAACATGGCAGGCTTTTTGGAATGTTTCTTAAAAAAAAAGAAACAACAACAACATAAAAACCACCTTGTTTTATCACTACTTAAAAGTGAAACAAATTTTGTTGGGATGTGCCAAATATTTGAGGGGACACTCAGACTGTTGTTTTGTTTTTCTTTGTACTCTTTAACAAGTGAAACAAATTTTGTTGGGATGTGTCAAGTATTGGAGGGGACATGGTACCCTGAGGTATGAAGCATTCCGGGCTTCTTGGCGGAAGTGAAGAGCCAGGATTGGATAGCTGTGTACCTTGCTTGGAGCTAAGATGTTCAGACACTGTTTGATGCGCTTGTATTACATAGCATATTTGTTTTGTCTTATATATATGTATGCTTGTCAACCAGTTTTTGTAAAGAAAGAAAAATATGTTCTCTGGTTTTCTCAAATAAATAGAAGGAAAGGCTGATAGGATAATGAGATCTCATTATGACAGAAGCAGGAGTTTTTATCTTGTGGGAAATCATAAGAAAATGTTACTGTGGGTTAACAACCTAATTCTGAGGAAGGATGTTTTCAAACGTCTTAAGGCCTCACTTCCTGGGTCCCTGAGTCAGGGTCAGATCCTGAAAGAATCCATTTAGGTCCCAGGAAGGTGCCTGATCCGAGGTTCGGCATGGATGGCCTTAGACCCTTAATATGAAAACCCCAGTTATAAAGGTTATAAAAGGTGAAGCGAACTGTGAGATCCGAGACCTGTTCCTGTATTTGGGTTCCAAGAAAGGCCTGAATCTTCGTAGTTTAGAGGATCAACTCAGGTCTGGCACAGAGAAGGAAACGATCCCTCATTCTGACAGCTCCTGAGACAGAAATGCTAACACGTGGCAACAAAAGAATGTGTTGGCCAGCAGGGAAAATGAAACTCAGAAAGAGAGATGGCTTGCTCAGTCCCGTTAGAAAAGACAGCGAGTTAGGGACATGGGGGGCATAGGATAAGTGAGCTAGGGTCATGGGGAGCATGGTGAAGAGATTTCACTACATTTTATCAGCATGTGTGTGAAATGCCCAGAGAAACTGACTACTCTGACCTAGCTATCCATTTTTCCCTGATACCGGAAAGTTACAGACAGTGAAAGTGGTGAAAGATATTAGGAAACTCAATGTAACAAAATCGGTTTTCTCCTCTTAAACTGTTTCTCATCTGCACGCACAGAGAGAGAGAGAGAGAGAGAGAGAGAGAGAGAGAGAGAGTTCTCAGTACAATACTGAGAAAGCCCTGTGACAAACTCCTCCTCTAGCCCCCTTCTCAGAAGGAAACTAAGATTTAGTGAATGCCAACTGTGGGCCAAACACTGCACTAGTTTTCAGGTACATAACTCAGTGAATTCTGATATGGTGATGAAGAAGATATTATTATCCAACTTTATAAACAAGCTGCAGGTCAGAGAAGACAAATATGTTGCTTTAGACAGTTTCTAGGTGACAGAACTGGGCTTCAATTCCAGTTCTCGCTGGCTCCAGCACGCAGCTCTTTCCATTATCTGTTGAGTCTGAATTCCATGGACCTTCTCCCCATCAGTTTCCATGCCTGTTTTAATGCACTATTCACATGCCTCCTGGGCAGGAGACTAAGCCTTCCGGCCTTCGTGTTCCCTTTTGGAGAGGCAAAGAGAGGTGGGAGGAGAGCGGGCAGATGGAAAAAACAGAATCGGGAGACAAAGCTCCCAAAGACGAGGATGTTCCTTAGGAGAAAGGGTCATTTTATTTCGCTGTAAATGTGGTTTGCTAGAAGTTTCTTCTGGTTGAGGTGCAACACATCGTTTCTTTGAACCCATCATCCTCTTTAGGCTCATCTATGTAACTGGGGAGGGAAGGGGGTTGGGTGTCAAGTAGAGGTGTGTGAGAAATGACCTATTTAGTCTCTCGTTACAATAGACACAGGGGGATTGTGAAGAACACTCAGTGAAGCCAAATGGTGTTCGGCCTGCAGCTGCTTCACTATGGTCTTTACAGCAGGAGAACGGAGACTGTGAGTGGGCTGTGAACACAGTCTCTGCAGCAGGCAGAATGAAGCGTCCTAAAATTCTTTTAATCTTCTACTTTGCCCTTCTCCTACGATACTTTCTCATCACGAGGGACGGAATGAAAGTAAAAAAGACGAGGTAACTAGAAGTGAGAGAACTTTGGGAGCGCTGAGGAGCCGTGTATAGCGTCCCTGCTGCTGACTCTGCCAAGGCAGTGTGC